GATGATCAAAACAAGCCAACTTCCCTAGGGAAGAAAAGGGAGATCTGTGGCAAAGCAGCAGGTGTGGAGAATCAATGTTTCTTTTCTAATCAGTGCTCTGTTACTTCCCTCTTCCCTTATTTCAAAATAAAACTTCTCCTCCTCCTCCTTCTCCTTCCCCTTTCCTTCTCCTTCTCTTCTCTCCTCTCTTTCCCTCCCCTTCCCTCCACTCTTCTCTCCTCCTCTTCCAGTCTAGTCTAGTCTAGTTAGTCTAGTCTAATGCAATCTCATCTATTCTAATGTAGTCTAGTCTAGACTAGTCTATTCTATTCTTAGTCCAGTCTCATCTATTATAATATAGTCTTGTCTCATCTAGTCTCATCTAGTCTGGTCTACAGTAGTCTTACATCACATTTCTAGCATCTATTTCCTGCATGCTAAAGGAGAAATGGGTGAGCGTTACGCCAAATATGGTTTATTTAGTCTCTGAAAATAGCAGCTACAAAACTTCTGCCACATGTTGTGTCAGATTAGTAAAGAATTCAATCAGGACCCTCTACTCTAATAGTAGTTTAAAGATACAGAAGTGATGAGGGAGTTTTATGTTTACCAACAATGAGAAGGTCCATGGAATTTTATGATAATGCCAGACTCCCTTCTGAGTCTGGGGTTTGTCCTGGAAATTTACTAAGGAATCTTCTAAAAGTCCCTCGGTTAGTCAGAATGTAATTTCTGTAATGCTAATTTTTTGTGAAGACAAAATATGTGTTTCTACTCAGATCTGTAAGCTTTAAAGAAAGTTTACAGAATGATTGCATTATTTGATTTCCTCCATTCTTCCTATGAAAATCAACATAACACTCATGGTAAGAAAGACATTTCTCTCTCCTCTCTTAAATTACCAGGATATTTAAATAATAAAAACTTATTTTAAAAATTGACCAAAAAAACATGCCACTCCAACTTTGGTAACAAATTACTTTTGTATATGGCATACAGCTGGCTGTTTTATGCATGTAGAGTAGTACCTTGGTACTGAACTGCTTTGAAACTCATTGAATTTCACACATCAAACATTTTGATGTGAAAATGTTGCCCTGGTACTCATCGTTTGTTTGGTACTCAATGTACAAGCTAGAACCTGTTGGTGTTGGCTGCCATGAGACTCACTACATTATTCCTTATGAGAAACATTTGTTTGGTACGCATCATTTTTTGTAATCATCGCACCTCCCAGAATCAATTAACAATGAGTACTGAGGTACCACTGTATAACATAACATAGATATACTCCTTACTTTATTTAGCCTTACATTGCATTAAAAGGATTCCCTGAGAATGAGAATTCACTTTGGAAGAATTATTTTCATTGACAAAGAGTTCAGTCATCTTGAGAAGAACTTCTATAAGGGACACCAGCTCCATCAGGAACATTGTTTGTGATAAGTGAATATTGTTGTACTCTAATGAATATAAATATCATGCAAAATAAAAATGAAAATACTTGGCATTGCTCCCCAGCTTTCCATCCGTTCTGGTGATAAATTTCACTTGGAAATTGGAAGCTGAGAGCAATGCCTCTCTTAACAACCTTGTGGGTTGCTTGTGGTGGCATAGCAAATCAAAACCATAGAGAGGAAAGTGTGTGCTAGATAACGATCATTACTGAAAACTCTGGCAGTAGCTTGACCCGGTGGCCTCTTTTTAAAGAAAAATCTTTAATACATAACACTATGGGATTCCTGAGAGTCCTTGTTTTGGGGCTCCTAGGGCATAGGTCAGATCTTGGAATGTCACCAGGGCTGCTGCTTACCAGGAGGAGACAATTAGGTGAAATGTCTAGACTGCTGAGTTTCGGACACAGCGATAAGAACATTATCAACTCTCCAAGGTGATATAAACAAGATGCTGCTGGCTGCAGAGTTTGTTTCGCCTTTCCCTTCCAGGGCTGGTTCAGCTCCTGAATGCCCATAGGTTGCTTCTCTCCTTCCCTTTGGGATCTAAGTGTGGAATCGATGGTCAGGGTTTCCTTCTATGATCCTTTATTTCATGATGTTCGGCTATGGATGGCAGTGCAATTGTAGAATCAAATGAGAACGAGGATTGATCAATAAAAGCCATGAGTTTCACACATGCCCCCTGGCCATCTTGTAACGATGTAAGTTAATGAGCACCACATTCCACCCAGGAGAATCAAAACTGTCTTCTCTCGTGAAATTTTGGAAGCAAATTCTGCTTTATCACTCCGGAAAGAACAGGAAATGAAAAAGATAAGGGATTTATTTCCTGCATAGTACTAGTCTATTTACGCACGTGTGTGTCTCTGTGTATGTGTAGGCCGAGTGTGAGATAGAACCCACAAATGATTAACATGATCTATAGCTCACTGGAAGAGCATATGCTTTACATGCATATCTCAGGCATGTCCAGGTACTCCTGTCACATGTAGTTGGATTTAATTCACAAGTGTTCAGCTTCTGAACACATCCTACAACTCATAATCAAGGGGATTGATTGAGAGGCTGTGCAATAGCACAAATTCAAAGAAAGGGAAAGGTAGGAAGGAACTCAGTGGTGGGTTCCTACCAGTTCGGCCCGGTTCTCCCGAGCCGGTAGCGGTGATGATATGACATCACCGAACCGGTTCTGCCCCACCACCACCACCCGCCCCACCCACCCGCCCCCCGCGTTATTCTTACCCTTTATTTGGCCCCAACCCCAATCTATTGCTGCCTCTTGAGTCCCAGCTGATGGCTAGAGGGGAAAAAACTGTTTAAATTCTTGCCGCAGGGCTTCAAAGGGCCGCCCTACAGCTGATCAGTGTTAAAAGAAAACAAATGAGTAGACCAGTGCCTGCAAAAATACATGAGTAGACCAGTGCCTGCAAAAATAAATGGGTAGACCAGTGCCTGCAAAAAATAAATGGGTAGATCGGTACAGCTCTGCAAGCAGTTAAAAGCCTGGTAGACCAGTACCTCTGCTAAATCCTAAAGAATTGTCACATGACCATCAAGCCACACCCACAAAATAAGCCACGCTCACAGAACCGGTAGTAAAAAAAATTAGAACCCACTCCCGAAGAAACTGCCTGATCAAAACCATTGTTCAAGATAAGGCAAGTGCTTCTTCAATGTGACAATAATTTTTAAAACCTTCAGGAGAAGATCTTTTGAAATCTATAGCTGAGCTGCATTAGATAACTTGCTTTGGATGGAACACAGGTTGTCTTTTCCAAAAGAATCCAAGGATCTCCAAAACTATCTTATTTATCATGCATGAAATAATACTTCTCTGATGCTGATAGCAAAGTTTTTCAAAATTTTCTTCTGTGAATTCTGCCTAGATCTGTTTCTCGTGTGGGTATTTCAGAACCTTCTGGTCCTCACATCCATGTCTGTCAGGTGAGATGGCATAGATGGCCTTTGTCTGTGCTTCCATTAATTTGCTGCATAATTTAAGAATCTGGGGTTATCTACGGCTTGGCCAACAGCACCCGAACCTGTAACACTGAATGTTTTACTTCTACTGGCAAATGCTGTAGTACAATACTAGCAGGGGTGGGCTGCTGGGGGTTTGCAGGGGTTCGGGAGAACCTCTAGCTAAGATTCTGTGCAGTTCAGAGAACCCCCAAGTCCCACTCCTGGCTGGCCCCTCCCCACCCACCCCACCCAGGAATCCCCAAGTGTCCCGTTTTGGGTGTAGGGTGCATGCAGAGGCTCGGGGAGGGTGAAAAACAGGCCTACCGGAAGTTTAGGAAGGGCAGAAACAGGCCTGTTTCTGGATCCAGAGGCTCTCCGGAGCCTGGGGAGGCCGTTTTCACCCTCCCGGAGGCTCAAGGAATACCTCTGGGGCCCAGGGAGGGCAAAAATGCTCCCCCGACTGTGGTGCAGGAGGCCAACTAGGCCACACCCACCATGGCCATGCCCACCCAGCAACTGGGCAGAGAACCCCTTGCTAAAATTTCTGAAGCCCACCCCTGAGCACTCGTGTACTACACTGTCGGCTTCTTCATCACTCAAGAAGTTCTGTGAAAGTCCTCTGGGACCTGAGTGGATAATTTGCCTTAAGTACAAAGCCCTCTTACAGCAACCCCAGCTAAATACAGTTTCCAGTCCAGCTAGTCTGAAAGCAATTGGCAACTCTGGGTCCAGATTTTCTCCATCACATCCTGTTTGACTATTGGTTGCTATTGGTAGGGTTGCTTTGTAATCGGGCATAAGTTATTTCCAGCTATTCTGGATAATAATCACATTTCCCCTAATTTAACCACATTTAACTGTAGCCCATTGTGAAAGAGTGGAGAGTTGGACATTCCCTAGCTCTGCAACATGATGGTGTGTCTTTTCCTCCCTTAATTATCATGGCAGGGTTTTTTTTGTTTATGGGCTGTGTCATCTGCCTACTGATGACTTGTCCCAACTGAAGCAGAGTGACTTCCATTTAACAAGGGCTTCTATTCCACCAAGGATTCCCTGCATAAATGTATTTCCTAGCTTCCTTTTGGAATATTCACATTGGTTTATTACTTTGCCGAAATAACTCCATTCATTTGCCCTTCTGCCTGGAACTCAAATGTATAATCATCTCCTTTACTTTCTTAGCTTTCTCCACTATCTTATCTTCATAATTAACATTGTTGAAAATGCACATTCCCATTGCACATGTATGCCTTTTGTTCTGAATCAGGACTTGTCCAATTAGTTCTTTTATAGTTTATTAGTTAAGTGTTGCCTGGGTATTTATAGACATCAAAGCCTTTGTCTGACAGGGAGACATTGAGAGGGGCCTTTCTTCCCCCTACTCCCATGCCCATCATCCCTGCCCTCTCCCCTGCCCCCTCCCATGTGCTCCTCTTTCCCGCCCTGTCTACAATCTTGGCACTTTGCCCCAAATCTATCAGGCGCTTCCCCACTGCTCCACTGGAGGGAGAATGTCATGGCTGCCTTTCCAGAGAAAGCTGCAAAGGAACTGACATCACAAACAATTGCCACTCTAGAATGCCACATTCGCTCTCCTTAACAGCCTAGGCTCTCCATTCCCCCTCCCATGACATCACAAACAATTGCCACTCTAGGACGCCGCATTCGCTCTCCTTAACGGTCCAGGCATTCCACAGTTATGCTGGAACACACAGACATAGACACAGACACACCCCATGGGTGTCTTACTCCAACAGTATTTGTTTCCAGATAGTAAGTCATCTGATAGTAAGTTTGGTTGAAATTGCGTTCCAGAGTTATGCTGGAACATACATATATACAGCCTTCCTTATATAGATAGATGATGCAAAAAAAAAAAAGTCTTCGCTTCCTGAATTCATGTTGAATCAAACTTAAAGTGGAGTGCCTCCATGTCCTTAAATGTTTTTGCTTCTTCTCCTAATATTACTATCAGGGGTAAACTATTTTGCCTTGCAAAAGGATGGTAGAGAAGAGCCAAAACAGGCAAAAAATACTCCTTTTCAATGGTTACGGACACATGGAGGACATTCCTATTACATTATGTGATGATGGCCATCAACATGGATGTCTTTAAAAGGAGAACAGACCATGGATTAAAATATTTCCGGTTTTTAATCCTGATTGTTATATATTTTCTCTTGTATTCCAGACAATGAGAGGATGTAATTGCATTTCTATCCTCTCATAGCTTTCCAATGTTCTCTAGATGGGTTAGAGACTGATCTGATTAAGGATCTCTCTTATCTTTTTTAAAAGATGAAGAGAAGGAGAACAAGATTTGGGATGCTGGATGAAAAGCCAACTTTTTCTTTTAAGGTTTTTTGTCCTTGTCAGCTGCATATGTGACAACTCATTCAGTTATATCATTCCCATGCCATGATTAAAAAATATATTACCCTCATCTTTCTCCAAAAGTATGCTAAGATCTGACATTCCTTTCATATTATTGAAAAGATTACTGGAACTTGATTACAAGTACATCCAGAATGTGTTTTGGTTACGTACCTTAGCCCGAAGCCCAGAGGACTTCTTGGCCTTTTAAGCTTTTTCTTTAAAAAAAAAAAAAAAACAAGAAGTATTCAGCTTGCAGAAGAACTGCAAATGGTTTTACATCAAGGTTTTTGCTTGCATTTAATTTTACAAAATGCCCCATTTACCAGTAGCCTTTGTGGGGAGGGGAGATAGGCCAACCTAAAAGCTAGAAGAGATCAAAGCGAGATAGTCAACATCCAAACATCTCATCACCATTACACACACCTACATACCCTTACCAAGTTTCTTAAAGCCCCTAGATACCTTCAAGTTCATTTAAAACTGGTTAAAAGCTGTGCCTGCCGAAGTCCACACCTCTGCCATAGGATAGCTTGTGTTTTACGAATTCAGACATTTCTATTAAACTGCAAAACAACAGCTCACTTGAAGACATCGATCTTGGTCATTTTGCTTGACAGTGTTGCTATCATTAGCAATCCAGGTTTCAAAAAATTCTCTTCTGAAAGTGAAGTGAACCCCCAAATATGTTAAAGACATTTTCAGTCATAGAGATGACAGATAGGAGCTTATGTTTACTTACTGAAACACACAGAGATTGGCACCAATATCAAGCTTTGTTCTACGATCTTCCCTTTTAGGATGTAGAATTTAAAAAAGACATTCCCAAGGATTTTTATCATGATGTTTATTTTGCTAGTGTGTGTGCAATGCAGGGGTGAAATCCAGCAGGTTCTGACAGGTTCTGGAGAACCGGTAGCAGAAATTTTGAGTAGTTCAGAGAACAGGCAAATACCACCTCTGGCTGGCCCCAGGGTGGGGTGGGAATGGAGATTTTGCAATATCCTTCCCCCAGGAGTGGGGAGGGAATAGGGATTTTGCAGTATCCTTCCCCTGCCATGCCCACTTAGCCACACCCACCAAGCCACACCATGCCCACCAAGCCATGCCGACAGAACCAGTAGTAAAAAAAATTGGATTTCACCACTGGTGCAATTGCTTGTCCTTTGAACTTTATGTCCTTTGTCCTTTATGGTGATTGTAAGTGTAACAGTTACACATAGAGATTTTAAATCAAATCAGTTTGTTACAGCCTTATGTTCAGATGCAATAAAATATTTAATAGTAGAACTGTTACATATTTCTCCATGAGTAAGTGAAAAACTGTAAGTTTGATTGGATCTAAAAAATAATTATGAACAAATATAATAAAATAAAACAGAATAAAAGTAGTACCATAAAGAATTCCAAACTTAATTAATGGTGGATTGTACACATAGCAGCACAAAATTGGACAACTTGGAAAGCTATAAAGATATACAGATATCTGGGATCTATAGTGAAGCCAGAACAAATTAACAATACAAAAATAGCATAGATTCTAGTGGGCCCAACAAATATAATGCTTCTTTTTCTTCTCTCTCTCTCTTTTTTTTTTTGATTATATATTAAGTAAACTATATAATTTTATATAGCAACTGTAAATTTAGGATCAATAATCCAAAAAAGGAAACATATTTTATTTTTAGACACATGATGCATGCATAGGACTTCCATTCTTAAATAATAATGTGATATTGCTGAAACATCAAAAACCAGTGACATCATTACTATCAACATTAGGTAAATTGCTACGTAGATCACTATATTTGAACAAAATAGGTGCTTATAAAGTCTGTGTAATATTTACCGTATTATTTCCATGTTTTAGATCAGAAGTTCTTCATGATAGATGGAGCCAATGGAACCTCTCAGTACAAAAACTTCTTGTAACTTTCAAAGTCTTTCTTTCTGAATGTTCATTTCAAAGACAACATCAATATAACACGATGAACTGTGACATCACCAGGATTTCATTAATTACAATTAAAAATTAAATTAAAATTAAATTTTTAATTAATAATTAAAATTATAAATGTACATCTAAATTTAAATTAAGTTTCTTTCTGTTTTTTTTACTTGTCCACACCTTTGTCTGGAATCTGTCCACTGACAGGGACAAAAGTCAATAGAAAACAGGAGAAGTGTCTTCTTATCAACATCTTCAGTTATAGGACCATCTCTTGACAAATCCCAAGATGACTGCAGCTTATGAGCTTCTCCGGCCATAAAAAAGTCCAAGAAATCTCCACACCTAACAAGCTTGAGATTCTTACAATGGAAAATAAACTTCTGAAAGACAAAAACTGGAATTCTTCCAACTTTCCTCTGACTTAATTGGGTACTCCAAAATACAACAAATAAGAAGCATATAAATTTGTTCTCCTATTTGTCCAACTGGAGTTGTACGGTATATATATTCCTACAAAAGACCTATGTAAATCTACACAGCTTTTCATTTGCATCTGTAACAAAACCAATAATCACACAAACACCCGCCCACACAAACCACAATGGTATCATCGCACAAATGCCACAACTGTGCATTGGTATCACAATGTCTGATGCAAGAAGGTCAGTTAGAGTATTTGGGTGATTACTTCATCATGTATGGGTCATCATTTTCCTATCCCCAGCGCCCCCCCCCCAAATATTTTTATCCTGGGGTTATTAAACTAACCACAAATAGCAACCAAGGTTGCGCTGGAAACACAACCCAGAATGGATTTTCCAGTTGAAGCCAATTCAGGTAATGTGAAACTTATGCATACAAACTTCATGGAGATCACTGAAATAAATAAATAAATATGCAGCTGTTTTTCTAGTTAGAAAAATCAGCTATGCGCTCACCTCTACAGAACTGTTTTGTATGTAAAATTTGCAGATTAATGTTAGGCAGCATTCAGAGGCACATGGTAGAAGTAAGACATGACAAGGAAAGGAGGAATGTTCATGGACCCCTTGGGGTTCAGCTGGATGAATTGAAGAAATGCATTATTTACTCCAGAACTCAACTGCCAGACTTCTCCAGCCAACATCGTAGCTAATTTTGAGAGTTATGAGATGTCTGGAGGATATCCAGATTGGATAGGCGACTTTAAGGGAAACTCTAGAAAATAAGTTTTCCTCATAAATGAAGGGCTCATCCACTTGTTATCAAAAGTATTTAACAGACGGCACGATGTGGGAAAACTATACATCGTATAGTTTATCAAATATAGTTTGGTTGCCCCAATATAAAAAAGATGTTGAGACTCTAGAAAGAGTACAGAGAAGAGAAACAAAGATGATTAGGAGCCCGGAGGCTAAACATATGAAGAACGGTTGCAGGGATTCGATATGTCTAGTTCAATGAAAAGAAGGGACTTGGGGTGACATGATAGCAGTGTAGTCTATTCTGTAGTCTATTCTGGGTGTCAGCAACCTGTGACTCTGGAGCCACATGTGGCTCTTTGGGCCCTCTGTGTTGTGGCTCTGTTGCCTGAGCCTGGGCTATCGACAGATGCAGACTCTGAGAATGAGGGGGAGGAGTTGGCAAGGCCTCCCTCTCCAGGACCCTCCTCTCTGGCAATGCCTCCGGAGGACACCGAAGGACAAACGATAGGCTCAGAGCCAAGCACATCCCCGCAGTCACAGGTGGACAGTGACGAAGAAGATAAGTGCTGGCTGGACCCTCGGCAGAGGTGCAGGGAGAAGCATGCGCAGCAGAGGGGAAGGCATGCCAGAGATTAGCTGAGTCACTGGACCACACCCCACAGGGTATAAATGTGGGTGTGGTGACCGGTTCAGTTTGTGACGAGCAAAAACTGGAAATAATCCATGATCTCTGCGTTACTGGACTTTGCCTGCTTTATCGGACTGCATTTGGATTAATCCTTGTATTGTTGAAATTCTGCCTGTTTTATCGGAATTCTTGCAGTCTAATCTTTGTTTTGTGTGAGTAAAGTCTCACCCCACAGGCTATAAAAGGGAGTGTGGTGGCCATTCGGACTCTGTGACGGACAAAGCTAATCTCTGGAGAGGCACTTTGCACCTTCGGACACAACACCTATTTGCTGTGGATTTAATTACAAACTGGACTATTCAAACTGTGTGTATTTTTGTCTGTGTTATCGGAGTAAAAGTTTTTGGCAGGCAGCCACGGAGTTGCTGCCAAGTTCCTTATCACTGATGTTGAGTGTTTGAAGAGTTTATTTAACCCTCGGCTGGCTGGTTGGGTGTGTGCGTGGTACGAGGACAGAACACTCTGCTGTGGCTTCCTGTTGGGTGATCCCACCACTGGCTGGCCCCGTCCCTCGCCCTCCCCTCCCAATCACTACTTGCCTGGCCTGAGAAGATCCCTATGAGGGGTCACCACAAAGAAGAGGGTGGTCAAGCTATTCTCCAAAGCCCCTGAAGGCAGGACAAGAAGCAATGGATGGAAACTAATCAAGAAGAGAAGCAACCTAGAAAGAAAGAGAAATTTCCTGACTAGAATACCTCCAACTCTGTTATTCTGTATGTAACTATGATTTGGGGGAAAGGGATAAATAGCCATCATTTTCTTTATTCTCTCTCTTTTTTAAACTGTCTGAAACTTAAAACATGTGTGGACAGTCTTTTGACAGGCTGGCTTTCTTTGGTTGGTCAAAGGGCACATGCCAAAGACGTAGACTAAATATACCAGCACCAAAATTATTCTAGCATCTTAATGAAACAAAACTTTTCAAAGTTTCTCCCATAAACACTCCCTACGATCATGGCTTCCTAGCCTCCTTCTTTTCTCCCCGTCTTCTAAAGTAATGTTTTACTAAAAAATATTGAAAACAGAATGGATTCCCAAACAGTAAAGCACTGGGTGTATTTTTAATGCACTGCAAGAGGTAAATGGCTACAAAAATCCAAGCAGAAAAATCTTTAGCACAGAAATAACATGGAAGCTGACCTAAAGAATGTTTATTTTCCTTGCTGGGCTGACAGCTTTGAAAATCAGCAAGTTTCTTCTTTGGGTCAATTAAACTTTTGTTCGGTGAAATTGCTCTGGAGCCAAGACTCCAAGAACATGCGGTATTGATTGTAAACCATGCATAACCCATGCAGTATTTTTTTTTCCTTCTAACCTAAGTGAGCAATAATATCAGAGGGGCAATTTCCCACACAGGCAGTCTGTAAGGGTGAAGATCTTGGGTGATGGATATTTACTGCTTGAAACACTAGTAGAATGTCCAAGAATGATGTCACAGCCCGTGTGAGCAGGTAGAATTCCAGGGTTAGCGCAGCTACTACTCACACATGATTATCATGTGAAGTGTTAGTACCACTTTATAATGCCTTGGTAACACCACACTTGGAATATTGCATCCAGTTTTGGTCGCCACAATGTAAAAGAAGATATTGAAAAAAGAAGACTCTAGAAAGAGTGCAGAGAAGAGCAACAAAGATGATTAGGAGACTGGAGGCTAAAACATAGGAAGAAATCAGGAATTGGGTATGTCTAGTTTAATGAAAAGAAGGACTAGGGGAGACATGATAGCAGGGTTCCAATATCTCAGGGGCTGCCACAAAGAAGAGGGAGTCAAGCTATTCTCCAAAGCACCTGAAGGCAGGACAAGAAGCAATGGATAGAAACTAATCAAGGAGTGAAGCAACTTAGAACTAAGGAGAGATTTCCTGACAGTTAGAACAATTAATCAGTGGAACAACTTGCCTCCAGAAGTTGTAAATGCTCCAATACTGGAAGTTTTTTACTGAGCCTGATGGCTCAGCAGACTGATAGCATTGTGATTAACACCAGCTGTCTGCAATTACTGTAAGTTCGAATCTCACCAGGCTCAAGGTTGACTCAGCCTTCCATCCTTTCTAAGGTAGGTAAATTGAGGACCCAGTTTGTGGGGGCAATAAGCTGACTTTGTATAAATATACAAAAGTATGAAGACTATTGCTTAACGCAGTGTAAGCCGCCCTGAGTCTCCGGAGAAGGGCGGCATATAAATCAAATAAAAAAAAAAAGTTTTAAAGAAAAGATTGGACAGCCATTTGTCTGAAATGGTATAGGGCACAGGTATCAAACTCACAGCATCATGTTGCCATCACATGAAGTTTTGTGATGTTTTTTCCATTCGCAGAGCTGGGATGGGCGTGGCCTGTGCATGCGGGCCGCCATTTTGACAGTTGTACTGCTTTGCATAGAGACAATAACTGGCTAAATTTTTTGCAACTTTGTGATCATTGTTGGATTTTATTGGTATCATATTATAATTATTACTCTGTTGGTTTGCATGTACATTGAGAGTTTCGGTACTGGACACAAATTTCTTGTATATCTAATCACACCAAATAAAGTCTAGTCTAGTCTAGTCTATCCGATTCGATTCCTTTTACAAATAACTCAAGAACTCCCCACATACTTCTCCCCTCCAAATCATGTTAGGACTAGCCTCTCTGCGCCTTGAAAACAACTGTTAAACATGGCCCAGCAGCTACAATTTATTTATTTATTTGTTTGTTTATTTGTTTGTTTTTTATTTATTTATTTATTTTATTATTTTATTATTTTATTTTATTTTCTCTTGACACCCCCTCCTTTCCCTCACAGTGCAATGCATGTGAAAATATAAGGAAAGCACTTCAACTTTCAGAGAGTGCTTGGCAGTCTCTTAAATTCACTTGGGATATGCCGGTGCTTCCATGGAAACCGAAGCCCACATGCACACACATCCATGCACACACAAAGGCACACATAAATCTTCCCCTGAAAATATAGCTTAACCTTCATTTCTTTTCTGGCACTGATTTTGCTAGGGTTTTGTTGCTCGTTTGCTTGGGGAGGTGCTCGGAGAAGGTTTGCTTCGATCTTGGGCATGTTTTACTTGGAAATAAGTCCTATGGTAGCCAATAAGGCTTATGATTATGCAGGACTGCAAGTTTATCAGTCTTAGCATGCCTGTTGCGGTATTCATCATGATCCCAAAGCAAACTGTCAGGACTGAGCAAGAGTCAGTTGCTGGAGGACAGGCAGGAAGCAAAAGGAAAGCCAGAGCTGATGAACCAAATCAAGAGGTGAGAAACCTCACCATCAGAATCAGGGACTTTGGCCAGGTAAGATTTCTGAATCCCATAGTGGAGTCTTTAATGTGCAGCCTTTCATATTAACTGCAACCACATCTCATAATCTGAGAAAAGCCTGGTTGAATTAAAAGAGAGGTCTATGAAGACTCTAGCCTACTTCTCACAATAGCCAATCAGATAACCTCAGATAGTCCAGAGGCGTAGCATGGAAACATGAATTGTGTTCTCTTGCTTCTGTTCCCCATCAGTTGCCTTTATATTTTGAGTCTAGCAACTGCATCAACCATCTTCTAGACAATAGAGAGAGGGGGGGAGGGAGAGGGAGAGAG